TTCATATGTAGCTACTCTGTTAACAACAGTAATTCTGACTGTTACTCTCAATCCTTTCCATGCAAGGGTTGATTTAGCAAGATCATCACCAGTTTTCTTTGGGTTAAGTCCAAGAGGACCAACCTTTGGTCCAAGAGAAGCACCGGCTGCAGCATCACCAGCTACAACTTTGACAACAACTATAAAAGTGAGTATTTATATTTTTAGAAAGATATTTATCCACCAAAATATTGTTATAAAGTATCTTTAAAATAAGAATACTTTAATAACGTATGGATGACAAACGCTCTTTCTTTTCATTTGGATTTGGCTTGGGAGGCATAATTTACTTCTCTTTGTTTTTATTATTTTTATAGTTCCTTAAGTACTTCAATGAGGGTTTTTTGGAATAATATTAATTATTATTATTTTTATTATTAATTATTATTTTTTAATTAAAATAGTAAAATACTATTAAAAATATAATATTGCAAATAGTAATTAGAAATAATTGAAAGAGTAAGTATTATATTATTTAATAAAATGATACAAATAATGCTATTATCACTATAACAATTATCATCATTAATATCGCATAAATTAACATAGCAACTCCCCATAACCTTTCTCTTCTGTTACTATTATTTAAATGGAAAATACCATAATATCCAATACATGGAAATATTATTGATAAAAGAAATAATTTTTTATTTAATGGAATTTCATTGATATCTTCTATGTCATCATTTGTTGTAAAATTTACTTTTCCTGATGTATTTTTTGTTGTTTGTTTCATTTGTGTATTTGTTAAGACACTTGCGTATGTCTGTTTACTACTTATATTCCTATTCATACTTGTATTGGTTCGGTGTGTACTGAGTGTAAAAGATTGAAGAGTTTGTCTTGTTGAATGTGAAGAGGTGTTTGTGCTCATAAATCTAAATTTGTTTATGTTTAGATTCTTTCTTTTTGCTGTTTGATTGATTCAATTATCTTTTTTTTTCTTTTTTGTTATTCAGATTTGATTGTCTTTTTATTTTATCGTGATTTGTTGCTTTCATTTTATCAACTTATTATTATTTCTTGTATTTCACATTTTCTCCCTTCTTACTTTTTCTTTTAGCTATTTGAATCACTTTAAAAATATAAAACATTTTATAATTATTGAAATATAAAAAAATATTGTTTTTCTTTATTTATAAAATACTCAGAACTTATAAAAACTAAAAAGAACTTATTAAAACTTAAAAATTTTATATTTTTAATTATAAAATGAAAATACTCTTGTTACTTGCTTTAATTGCTTTTGCTTTTGCGGAAGAAAATGAACTTGACAACACATTTGATATTGATTTCACTGAGTTAGATAACGTAGAGCTTTTTGAAGAAGAAAATAATGATGAAGATGATGAGTTCCAATTAGAAGAAGATGAAGAAGACGAAGAAGATGAAGAAGATGAAGAAGACGATGAATATGAATTAGAGGAGGAAGAGGATGATGACGCTGTTGCTGAGTCTTTGTTTGCTGAATTTGATGATGAGGACCTTCTTGACTCTGATGAAGGTCTTGATGATGACGACGAATTAGATCTTGATGATGATGATGAAGATTTAGAAGAAGCAGACTTTTTTGAAGACGATGAAGAAGAAGATGATGATGGTACTGAAGAAGAAGAAGAAGAATATGAATTAACTCAAGAATGGTCAGAACAAGCAAAGTCAGAGGTTCATCCATTAGATAAAATTGAATCAGCAGAACGACTTCTTGCTGAACTTGCTAACCATCCATATCATGGTATGTATGCACCAGCTTAAATTTCAATTAATTAACCAAATGATGTTAATTTTTTATTTTAGAGCTATTTAATTTTTTAAAAGAAGAACTTACAATGAAAAAGAGTATTTGATGCAAACTAATTATCCTTCAATAGATTTTGAGCTTCTTTTAAAAAGTGATATAGTTACAAGAAAAAAATTGATTAAGAAATTCATTGATCAAAGAAGGATGTTATTGTTTTATAAACAAGACGATGTGATTAATTGTCCTATTTGTTATACTGATGTTGACCATTCTTTTTTTTATACAAATCCAAGATGTGGACATAGTTTTTGTCTTTCTTGTGTCTCAGAACATGCTAAAGAAAAGATTAAACAAGCAAATGGGTCTATTCTTTGTCCAGAAAAAAATTGTAATGAAGAAATACCATATAATGATGTTTGTTTTAAATAATTATTATTTAAAGAAATATAAATAATTCATAGTTAATTAATTATGGTATTATATCTGATCCAGACTTATTAGAAAAGTATAACTCTACTCTAACACGAATTAGAATTGACAATGACCCGGATACTTTATATTGTATTAAATGTGGTACACCTATGATTGGAGAACCTGGAATTACTATGGTGAGATGTGTAGAGTGTGATTATTGTTTCTGTTGCAAATGTAATGAACAAGTTTGTTTAAATTAGTTTTATAATAAATAAGTTTTTAGTTAACCTCTTAGTGGCATGCTGACTGTACTTGTGAACAGTATCAAAGATGGAAAAAAGAAAACAGTATGGGTGATGACGCGTTTCAAGTTTATGTCAAAAAAAATACTAAGTTATGTCCTCAATGTCACAGCCCAATTGAAAAAAATGGCGGTTGTAATCATATTACATGCACATGTGGTTTTCAGTTTTGTTGGCTTTGTATGCAACCATATACTAATGACCATTGGAAAGTCAATAGAAGTGGATGTACTCAATTTTCTTAATTAAGTTTTTTATCGTTTTATATAATACAAAATAAATGAACAAAAATAAATCAATTTATTCTTTGATAAAGAAAGTTAAATAATTTATTTGACAATAATTTAAGATAATAACGTATTAACAATGCACATGGATTAAATATTAATTTGAATATAATGAGAAATCCCATTATAAAGGAAAGTAAGGCATAAATATTCCAATTGTCCATAAAAGGATATGGTTTAATATTATAATAATGGAAGTCATAAAGAGTAATTGAAGAATAGAGTAAAAAAGCAGAATATGGTCCATATTTACTAATAAAATAAATTTTGTGCACTCTAGTATTTCCTTGTTTGAAGAAGAAACAATCAATCAATAAAAATATTAATGGGAATGTGTGTTCAAAATGTGTATAATACCATTCTTCAAATAAGGTTGGTTGCCATTCATCTGTTGCCCTAAAAACTGTTGATGGAGATTTAAAATAAAGAATCCAAAACATCAGAGATACACTTATCGCAATAGAAACTGCTGTTTGTTGAATAAACTCAACTACAAAATGTATAAGACGAATATCTTTTTGACGAAGAAATTCTTTATTACTTTTTACAGTTACTTCACTTAACAACAATAATGAAAGTTGTCTTAAGAAATTAATAAAGAAATACACACCACAACTCCACATACCGAAGTAAGTCCAAAATCGAGTCATTCTTAATAATGTATAATCAGAGTCATACATATGATGTACAGTAATTATATAAATAAAACAAACAACACAACAATCATATAACAACCGGTACTTTGTTTTGTTTTGTCTTAATATTATTTCTAAATTCCTTTTATTGTATTTAAGTTTGTCCATTATATTCTAATTATTTTAAGATTTTTATAATCTTCTTTTCATATCGTTTTGATTCCCTCAGCAGCATTTCTCTCATTACTACCTCAAAACTACTCATTCTAAAAAAGTCTTGATTTAAATTCATTATCAGAATGGTTACTACGTCATACTAACATAATAATTAGTAAAACTAAAAAATTATTTATTATGTTATGTTATGGCAATATTGCAAAAATTCTATTTTTGGAATTGTCTCTAAAAATCTAATCTTTCTATAAAATTGTTACAGTTGTCTTTTTTTTTGTGTTATTAAGACTAATCCACATAAAAAACAAAAACATAGTGAATGCCTTTAAAATAAACATTTTTATTCATTGGACTTTTCGAAGTTCTTATATATTGGTGTATGTATTGCTTTTTTTCCTTTTATTCTTAAATCAACAGAAAGAACAATAACTTTAACAATTTTAAACAAGGCTATCTTTGAATAGATGAATTTTGTTATTTTATTTGTAGATAAAATTGTTAATTGGTGTTTATTGATTCTTTGTGTTTTTTTAATACTTAGTTGTATTGATATTTTTCTATTCTTTTGAATAAAAACACCTTCTCTATTAATTTTTTTTACAACTTTACTCAGCTTAATTATTAGCAATTTCTACTAAAGAATTAAACTAACTTCAATCTTATTTCTTGATTTTCTCTTTTTTTTATCCATTTTATTTAAAAATTATTAACACAACATAGAATTATACTTTAAACACAAAAAATAAATAATTTCCTTCGATAATGGTTTCTCTCTTTGACTTCGACAATTCAATAAGAAATTATTTATTTATATTATTCATTAATTCTTGTAAAACTCTTATCTACAAACTACTTTAATACTCGACCCCATTTTCTATTACAAAAAAATTCTCTCTCATTATCATTGTTGTTCCTTAATTACTCATTCAGAGTTAGTTTGTTATTTGTATTGACCAACGTCATTATTTGACTCTTTTAATCAAATTTCCTTTTTTCTCCTGTTTTTATGAAAAAAAAAACTTCTTCTCAATCAATTTTTATTCAAAAACAAAAGTAAAAACCAATAACTATCTCTCACCAATTTTATATGTTTATATTATTTGTTGCTTCTTTTCATCCTTCATTTTTTTTAGTCATTAGAAGTATTTGGAAATGAAAAATAACTTTACTTAATATGTGATAATTGATTTTAAAAAGGTATGCCGCATAAATTAAATAAAACCTATGAAACAAAGAAAATAAAAGAATAATACAATAAAGGACAATTACTATTCAAAATCTTTCAATGACTCAATAAAGAGATATAAAATATAATAAATAATAATAAATAATA